TTTTTTTTTTGCTTGTGAAATGTTACATTCTTAAAAAGTACTTTAAACTGTATAAATACAATTGAAAGTGATTGACCTACCCATCAAAAATTTCACCCTCACGTGACCAACGAAAAAATTCTTTAAGTTCGTTTATGTTAAGGTTAGTGCCCAAATTAGTATTAGACTTTAGACAATTATATGGTAAAATCGCGTAAGAAAAACTTTTTGTTAGTGCACAAAAGGTAGTTGCTTATGCAAATTCTTGAGAAATAAGCGATTTTTGACAAAAAAGACGTTTGTTTTGAATTTTCCTGATCGTGTTACGTTACACTAAATCAGGATATTTTTATTGGTCAATAATCACGTGGGGTGAAATTTTTATGGCGATACTGGGGTAAATTATGAGATGTGGCCCAAAATTAACTTTAAAAAAAAGCCCAATGGGCCTAAAGGGCCGGCCCATGCGGGACCCTAGCTACAATACATATACATAATTTTAATAGTAATCTAATTTTTGTAACTCAATAACATATTACTTCAATCACACAATTCGAGTACTCTCTGTGCTCAATTCGTGAGTTATGGACCCAATCACTAATATACATTCAAAATGACGTTTTTAGTTATATATATTATTTCACATAATTGTCTAAAATAAGGTTAAATTGAACTAGAAATTACTGTCTTTGGTGTTATTTCGTAAATGTATAATGAGTATTAATACTTCTTATATTGGCTATAATTTTTATTTTAAATATTATTGAAGTTAGTAATAAATATCTTAAATAAAAAATAATGTAGAAAATAATTTTAATTTATTAACAAAATAGTTTTTATACCCAATAAAAAGGATTAAAATGTACAGTCAATTAGATATTGTCAAATGTCTATATGTTAAAATTGTTCAAAATGTCTGATTTATAAATAACTTTTCTGTGAATAATTCTAATAAAATTCAAATATTGCAATAATTAAACTAGTATTAATAGAGTGATTCAATATGGAAGTGATTTTCATGCTAAATTATATTGAACCTAGCTGCCGCACAAAATTTTCGCGGATTGGGCCCACATTACATAATTTTGGCCAGAATTAACTTTTTAACTTTTTCATTCCTAAAATGGAAATTTTTAGAGAAGTAGGCCCGCGCAATGGTAAAATTAGCCCAGGAACATTTTTCACTTAATGGGCGGCCGCGATTTCATTAGTAAAATTTTGAGTAATTTTGGCCTAAATTGTTGATCGTCGTCGTTGGCCAATCAAAATCGAGGATTAACCGCGCATTTTTTGTGCGGCAGCTAGGTTTAATCTAAATTATCATTGTTTGGACCAATCAAAATAGCACATAATTGATCGACCAATCAAATTACTAATTTACAAATTTTGGAATTCAAGAAATGTTATAAAGCAAAGTGTGAGCTTCTATTTTCTTAAACAATTTTTACATTTCTTAGAAAGGATAAGATACAAGAGGTTTTCAAAAAAGGATTGTAAAATAATATAAAAAAATTCGGTGTCAAGTCTCTGCTATAAAATTAACTTATTTCAACATAAATAGGAGTTCAAAAAATCTTATTTCTGTTTTGAAAATCCGAAATCAGAAAATGAAATATGATTATTTTATACGTATTTAATATGCATATTCTTATAATATAAAAAATAAGATTTATAGATCACATATTTCGAAACAAATATGCTACTAATTTTATTAAAATCAAAACCCTAATTATTAATTCTGAATCATGAAGCAAATAATCATTATTACAAAAAATAAAAATTGAACTGATATTCATCCTGACTTTGCTAAGAAAAAATATAACCTATAAAAACTGGTATTATTTGGGAATTTAACCATTTAAAAATCATTGTAAGAATTCCAAATAATTATATGGGGTGTTACGTATTAAAACAGTCCATTTTAATTTTTTTTTATTTGATTTTTGAATAGTTATCTATTCAATAAAAAAGTTTGTCATAAGCAATAAGAGCCTATTGTATAATAAAAAGATCCACCAAATGAACTTGAAGTAAAAAAAAAATTATATACATATATTACTATTTGTAGATCACCATTTAACTTCTATTTACTCAAAATAGTTTACATAAAAATGGGCTATAACACCCCATATGAGGTCATATTTGAAACAATGCTAATATCACCTCTTTTTCGGATGAAGTTATATTTGAAATGTAGGCTGGACGTGGGATTAGTGTTCCAAGTTGGTAAATATTTTACCAATCGATTAGTTGCCAACTATAGTTGCAACTAATCGATTGTACACATCACCTGGCATCATCAGATGATTAGCCAATCAAACCAAAGGAATTAATTCGGATCTGCCCGACTAGACGGAATTTCTCGGAATTGTACTAGTTGAATGATTAATCGATTAGTTGTTTAAATTTTTTCAAATCGACTAGTTGGAAAGTTGGCAACTAGTTGATTTTTCAACTAACGATTTGGAACACTACGTGGGATCTTCAGCTAATTGAGCTCTCCATTAAATGCGCAACTAGAATTATGTGGTTTGTTCCAATTGGCCATGCAACTAGGTGAAAAAAACTCAATGGTTAAAATCATTAGTCAATACAAGATCCGAATACATGAAAAGATTAGATATCTTACATCCAGCAAAATTCATGTCCACATCTACATGTCATGTGATCACATCCTTCATTTTTCTCAATTCTACTTGCACAATTTGGACATTGCTTCAATTGGCCCACATAGGATTCGGATGCTCTCTCGGCATTTCGAAGGGTTTCTAACCTACGTTCTTCTTCTCGTCTTCTTCGTTCTTCTTCCTCTCTTTGTCGACGTTCATCTTCATCTTCCAGCTGTATGCATTTTTCACACACAGTGCCAATTGGACGTCCGTGCACAACACAGGATTTCTGTCCACATGAATTACAGGTCATTATAGGAACTTTGTCTTTAAGGAAATTAATTAATTAAGGATAAATGTATTTGTATCTATAAAAAATACCATTAATCAAATGCTTATATAACTTACCTCCTTGATAATGATCTTGTCCTGATTCGCAATTTGGATTTAAACACCATTGAAAGGTAGGAATTTGGGATAATGCAAAATTTAGTGTAAATCTTTCATATCTGCAACAAAGATGTAAAAGAATTATTATCTTAAGAAAAAGATTAATTCGCATATATATATTCCAATCAATATACCGTTTAAACGATTCTTTACTTGCAAATTTTTCTACATCTTTTTGATCTAATATTTCGGTACATCCATCTTCTGGGCAAGAAATTCTAAGATTTCCATTATCTTCAAGTTCGTGCTTGATATATGTTCCTATACATTCACAACAAATTCTATGATCATGATTACATTGATTTGTAATTTTCATAAAGACTATGATATCAACATTCTCGGTACATATAATACATTCCTTTCTTATATCGAATATATGAACAATTAAAAAAAGAATGCAGATGGCTGGAGAAAGAATGAATGTAAGATTAAAAGGATTATAAATGCAGGCAAGAAAAAGGATGCAAAAGACTATGGGAAAAGTATAGACAATTGAAAGAAGAGCGCTGACTACTAGAAGAACGTTGACGAATGATGGAAAAACATAGGATAGTAGAAGAAGAACATAGGATAGTAGAAGAAGAAAACAGGATAGTAGAAGAAGAAAACAGGTGATTAGAATAATTTTTTTGCTCTTTTCTTTTAGGATGAAGAAGACTATGTGAAAAGTATAGACAATTGGAAGAACAACGCTGACTATTAGAAGAACTACTAGAAGAACGTTGACGAATGATGGAAGAACATAAGATGGTAAAAAAACAACATAGGATAGTAGAAGAAGAACATAGCATAGGAGAAAAAGAACATAGGATAGTAGAAGAAGAATACGGGATAGTATAAAAAGAATACAGAGGATTGGAAGAAGTTTTTTGCACTTTTCTTTTAAGATGTAGAAGAATTGGGGACAGAAGACTTCGGAAAAAGTATAAACAATTGGAAGAACGCTGACTACTAGAAGAGCATTGACGAATAATGGATGAACATAGGATAGTAGAAGAAGAACATGGGATAGTAGAAGAAGAATACAGGATAGTAGAAGAAGGAAACAGGCGATTAGAAGAAAGTTTTTGCTCTTTTCTTTTAGGATGCAGAAGACTATGTGAAAAGTATAGACAATTGTAAGAACAACGCCGACTACTAGAACAACGTTGACGAATGATGGAAGAACATAAGATAGGAAAAAAATAACATAGGATAGTAGAAGAAGAACATAGGATAGGAGAAAAAGAACATAGAATAGTAGAAGAAGAATACGGGATAGTATAAGAAGAATACAGAGGATTGGAAGAAGTTTTTTGCACTTTTCTTTTAGGATGTAGAAGAATTGGGGACAGAAGACTTCGGAAAAAGTATAGACAATTGTAAGAACAATGCTGACTACTAGAAGAGCATTGACGAATGATGGAAGAGCATAGGATAGTAGAAGAAGAACATGAGATAGTAGAAGAAGAATACAGGATAGTATAAGAAGAATACAGGTGATTGGAAGAAATTTTTTGCTTTTCTCTTTTTTTTCGACAAACAAAATCAGCTAAATGATCTAATTTTATAAATATGCTATTAGACATTTGAGATTGTTATTTATTCACGGTTATATTAAAATTTTGCAGATTTAAAACATCTTAATATACGATATTTATTTGCCGTATATCATAAAAGTGAATTTTTTTTACCAAGTGCTAAGCAGCCTATGCATATATATGCAGGTACGTACGTATGTACGTACGTACGTGCATATAGTTTAATCGCTGATTTTACGTATTTATTAATATTCAGCATAGAACTGTATCGGTTTCGGTATGTTCTAAAAGAATCTAATTGATAGTTTATGTAATGCTTTGCAGCTGGATTAGTTTAAGGTCAGAATGAATGTGAAGTTACGGTATAGTTTAGGCCAATGATTGTCAATAATTTAATGTTGGTAATCTTAGGTACTTCAGCTAGCTTAAGAACACAAATGCTCAAGACGCTTGACAAGTACAGTATATCTTTCTTGAAAAGTAAATCCTACAAAGTCAAGATGTTTGAAAAATGAATACTATTTTTTAAACTAAGCCACTTGGAAAGAAATCCTACCACGTTAAGACGTTTGAAATAAATTTTGCCAAGTTAAGACGTTTGAAAGTAAATTCTTTTAAGATGAAATATTTCTTATTTTTTAAATACAACTAGTAAACTAGCGCATCATTGTGTTCATGCCTAAATAAATAGATCATAGGCTCTTGTTTTTAGATTGGCATTTTTCTAGATTCCGGTGTGATGCACTGTAATTGTGCCTAAATTTGGGAATACGCACGGTAATCTCATCTAGTTCTTTACTAGTCCATTACAGTTTTTTTAAAAAAAAATAAAATAAAATTGTAATGAAGAGCTTGTTAACAAAGCGTCAAAGAAGCCGTTTTTGATAATCAGTGTATTTAAAAGTTGTTGTTCAGTAGTGAGAAGTTATTTTTCTCTTTAGTTTCGCTTATTTTGGTGACTCGGCAACTAAGGCACTTGGTTTAATAGGTTAATGGTAATAATAAGCAACGTCAAGCTCTGCGGTTGAAGTAGCAATGTAAGAATCTTGTTTGGTGGTAGTTAGGCTTCACAGTTGCAGTAGCGGCGCAGGGACCTCATTTGGTGGTAATTAGGCACTGTGAATATAGTAACAATGCAAAGACCTTCGTAAGATGGGTTTTGGGCTTCGCAGCTGCAACGGCAGTGCAAGAATCCTTTTGCTGAACCTAGCAGCATATTTATCACTTCATGAATGACTACATAATCGATTCTCTTTGAAGCTACACGGATCTCTCCTCGACGACTTATCCTCGTATGCTTAGACATTATAGTTTGGTTAGAGATCATACGTTGGTTTTTTATAGGTGTAGTAGTTTCAATAAGCTAAGAATGGGTTTATAACCGGTTAGTTCGAATAGCATTGTTTTCTTTAGAGATGTAATATTTTAATTATAAGAGATAGAGTCTGTAACGATAGTGAACAGATTCCCATATGCTTTTCATTGTTTTTTAATAAAGTCATTTGTCATCTGATTGGGCAATAATAATTATATTCTTGATAGATTGAATTTCAAATTGAGATTAAGATTTGAGACACCAATACTGTTATAGTGCTGTATCGTAGCATACAACACTTTCAACTTTCAGTAACATTTATTAAAAAAAAAACTAATTATAATCTGCAGAAAGACAGTATATTACAAAAATTTGCAAACTTGGACAATTCTGATGGAATATATCAAGTCGAAATATTCACTCTTTTGTTATGCTATGTATGTGTTAAATCAACAGCCTGTAAGTGTAGAAGTTTATTTTATAAAAATAAACAACATAATTTATTGTCCTTCTATCTGTTATCTGTTTATTTCCTCTTCCATTATGCTATATATGTGTTAAACTAATAGTGGTAATTATAAAATTTAATTTTATAAAATATAATTTATTGTCAATAAATAAACAAATTATATTTCTCTATTAATTCTTATTTCTATTATCTGTTATCTGTTTATTTTCTTTTTTGTTATACTATTTATATATTAAATCAACAGTCTGTAGATATAAAATTTATTTTATAAAAAATGAATATATATATATATTATTTTTTCCTTTATTGGTAGCCTCACCAGTATCTTCATTAGATCAAAGCATATATATATACATATATTTAAACTATCTAAATTATAGATCCAACATCATCCAGCTGCCTCCATGGGTGCCTAAATACAGTCTACCTTACCAGTTAAGGCATTGTCCCATACCGAAGGGCTGCATCAAGCTAGCCAGCAAAGCTATAATAAAATGGTCTTAATTTAAAGAAATTTTTATTAATATTTCACTAACAATTAACTTTTTTAATTTTATTCTTCTCTTTACAATAATAATCTAAATCTACTCTACTATCTAATTTAGCTTTGATTTTTACTCTATTATAACCAAATTCTCTCTGCTTGTGTCTAAGCTTCTTTCTTTTCTTCTAGTTTTATTTTATCTATACTGATAGGAGATCTGGTTTTCAAAAGTCTTCTCTTGCTCTTTTCTTTATACTTCTCTTTTCATTTTGTAGTTCTATATTCTTTCACCTTTTCTAAAGAGTTTATCCTATAGGTCTTTTCTGAAAGTATTTTTCTATAGACCTTCTTTCTTCTAAACTTTCTTGATGCTATTCTTGAATCTTCTGCTTCTAAGTTTTAATTAATCTATTTGTGTTTCCTTTTTCTCTTTCATCGAAACTGAACTTTTAGGTCTTTTGTTTCTATATCTCAATTAGTCTATACAGAACTTCTTTTTTTTCATTTTGTATCTAAAGATCATTCTTTTTTCCTTTCTTCTTAAAGCCTGATTTTCTGCCTAAAAGCTTCTTTTATATTTGAATAAAATCTTTTAATTTTTAAAAAGCTTTATTAAAATTCTTTCTATTATTTCTAATACTATATTCTTCTTTTTTCTTTTCTAATTTTTAATTTCCTTTAATCTTTCTGCTGATATATCTTGAATCAAACTTTTATTACTAATTCATTAAAATCTCAACCATTGTATCTATTTTACTAACAAATCTTTTTTTTTCAATTCTTGTTATTAATCTGTGAGTTTTCTTTGCTTGTTTAATATATTATTTATATCATCCATTCTGCTAAGTTGTAAATAAAACTTTTGAATTTATTTTTGCTTGAATCTGTTTTAGAGTTTTTGCTTCTATAATGTCTTTAATGTTTTGTTTTTTGATTCTCATTCTTTTTTGCATTTTTTGATTTTTTCTTCTTTCTTATACTGGTTTGCTGTAGCAACTTTAATAAATTTTTTAAACTTTTTAACTAATGTTTTCAATGTTATTTTGTTATGCTGCTTTTGTTAATTTCTCTTTGTTCTTGAAGTTTTTTTTGTTCTAACCTAAATCTAATTTAGACTTTAATTTAACAACCTATTTTTTTTATTGTTAAACTTGCATTTTTTCCTTTTATTTTTTGATTTTCTTTTTACTTTCATGCTGGTTTACTGCAAAAATTTCAACAAATTATTTAAATTATTATATAATTATCTTTAAAAACTGTTTTGTTGTGTTGCTTTTGTTGATTTTTTTTGTTCTTGAAGTCTCTTGTTTCAACCTAATCTAATTTTAACTTTATTTACTTTATTTCAACAACTTATTTTTTTTAAAACTCTATTATCTATCTTATCTTGTTGGCTATTTTTAAGTTAACTAGAATATTGTTCATTTTTTTTATATATGATGTATTTAACTAGATTCTCTTCTTTTTGTAGTGCTGTGAAGTAATCATGGTTGTTTTTTTTCTAGGTGCAAGTTCTGTATAATTAAGT